GATTTTTATTTTTAAATGAATAGACAACCTAAACAATTTTGGTTAAAGTAATTAAGAAATGTTTAATTTTTTTTTCTTGTAAGATTTCATAAAGTTTCAAAATAAATTTTTTTTATACATGTTTGTTTCCTTTTACACAATTTTAAAACAAAGGTTAAATTTTTTTGGAACAGCACCCCCACTAAATTTAGCCACGAGCCGCCACTGGCGTGGACCAATTATCGCACAAACAATTTTTAAATTTCATTGTAGATGTATATATGTATGTGTGGATGTGCTCTGTGAAGTTTTATTGCTTTGTATTAAATATATTAATTGTAGTTTTACAAATGCTGATAGTTTGTTTTCAAATTCCTCTTTCATTGTTTTTACATATGATTATAGCTACAAAAGTTACATGTGTTTCATTTTATAATTCAGCAAGCATAAAGGTAAATGCATTTTCTGTAATATAAAAAAAAAAAAAAAAAAAAAAAAAAAAAAACCTAGTTAATTAAAATAAAAATGTATTTTTTGGCAAAATTAGACTTAGCAAGTGAGCACCCATCGTCAGTGGAGACATCAAGGAAACTCAGTGCTCCGTCTCATAGCGACAAGGTACGAGAGTCCGGTGTCGTCCAGGACGGTTATTCTACGCTACGAGAGTCGACAGCAAGTTGTGGGCCGCCAGATGTCGCTGCTAGTAAAAAACAGGTCTGCCCGACATCCTATATTCTCTGAGTACAAAGTGTCGAAAGCGCGTGAAAAAGTGTTGCCGCGTCGTCAATCAGGTTGTGCAGTTGACGTACTAAGTAGACAATGGCTTTTGTATGTGTTTTCGCTGCTGATTTTTTTTATTTAACGAAGAATCGGTCGTAGATTCTGAATCGGTGGCGAATTTATAAATATTTGATGCTTTTGCTCTGCCAAAAAATGTTTTCATTGCGCATTTCAGTTTTGCGAAAATTTATAGTTATTTTAATTTGCGACGAACTGAGAGAGTATTTGGAGCCACATTCAGAAAACAAGAACGCAATTTCTACTGAAAGAAAGGTTATACTATTCCTGAAATTATAGATATAACTGTAATTGTATGCTTTAAAAAATAGAAGATAATAAGTTTATCTAGCACATAATCCTTCTTCAATTAATACAAATATGGATATCCGAGAAGCGTCTACTCGATTTATGTGCAACAAGAATTAAGTTTATTTTAAAATACTAACAGTGGAATACCTTACGAACAATACTGTGAACACAATAAGGAATGTCGTTCATTATTACTCGAAATTCACCCTAATGTAAAATAAAAATGGAAAAAAAAAAGTAATAATAAAACTATAAAATAGACTTTATAATATTTTTTTTCAGTAGTCGTACTACTACTAATGTGATACTTTTAAAAATAAGTTTTAGCCTAGAGTGCCTATTAATTTCCTTTTTGCCATTTTGTGGCTTTTCACAATAATGGAGTTTCACTTTTCAAATTGTTGCCACCAAGTATTATGCACTCTATTATATTTAAGAAATTAAATAATGAGGAATCTGCAGAATGTATGAATGTTTCTCGCACTGTGATAAACAACGGTACCTAGAGCCATGTTCTGAATAACGTAATCCTCCATCCTAATACAGGCATCTGGAGGCCCAAATTTGAAACTGAGAATTTGTTTATTATCTATTTCATATTTTGTAAAGCATTTTTATGAGGTTTTTGATTAAGAAACCCAACGATTTCAAAGCGAGCAATGCAACATTGTACGGAAAAAACATTTTCATCTCTAGCGCTTGAGACTTGTATCGGAAATTCTAAAGATATGCTTTTTTTTTAAATTATATGATATTGCTGTTGAATTGAATTTTATGGTTTAAGTGAGAAAAACATGATATTTAATAAATAAAGGTAACACGCAAAACGTTAAAAAAATAGCCCTTTGGAAGTAATATAAAATCTAAAGGCTTTCAGATTTTTTTTTGTGTGTGTGTAATTTTATTGTTTTAAAACTAGTTTCTAAGTGAGGTCTTTCTAAGGAAAACTGGCTCGTATACACGTTACACACGGGGAAAGCCACGAAAACGCCGACCAGCTCGTTCGCGGGATTTGAACCTCGGACCAAACTGCCTGCGTTCAGCGACTCTACCGCTCGGCGGCTGGTAGGCTTGTTAGCAGAATTATACTGCATTATTATTGTATTATGCTATAAGACTGAGGGTTTGTTCATGGAATAGTCCCCCCCGGGGTCGACGTAGAGAACTCTGCGAAGCTACTGGCTAGGATCTGTACCTAGGCAGTCTCGGCCACGGGGGTATAAAATTTATGAACTTGGCGGTTCTGAAGGCTCTGGGAAAGGTCACTTATTGGTCGGCCCCGGAGTCTGGCACGTCCTAGCGCGGCGTGGTACTAGTAACCCGGGGTTTTCCCCGGGGTCGCTGGGTAATGTCCCGCTGCGACGGGCTCGCCCAAGCGACTGGTAGGAGCATTTGACGACCGGTGCTGCCTGGGGTGCGTCCCCAGGTGGTGCGCTGCTCTCCTGGAGGGTAATAGTGGAGGTTGAACCACCACGACGTGCCCAAAGGGGGGGTGGACCTGGAATGAGATTGAGTTCTCGATACGGGGAATGCCCTAATCTTCTTCTTCTTCATGGAATAGTACTTTTGTAACCTATTATAGTGTTAAAAAATCATTGTTTCTTTGCAAACTTAAAAAAAAAAAAAAAAAAAAAAAAATATTGTTTATAGAATTCTCATTTTTATATTGTAAAAAAGATATTGATTATTATTAGTTTTCTATTTAAAATATGTCGAAACGCTGGTTTGACAAGGACTTCAACTGCAGACTTTAGTACTTGCATTGTGAAAATATTACTATCTTTTAATTATTTTTCACAGAATAAAATCTTTTGAGAAGGAAGAATATTTACCAAGCAGTTTATTATATATATAAAAAAATTAAAATAACAGCAATGTAATATTAAAAAAAAGGTATTAATAATTGTGTGACAAAAATTGCAAAACAAATTAATCACACATACAGGATAGATCAGTTTAATTTTGGTTATATATTTTATATTGAAAAAATATTTTCTTTCGTGTTAATTATAGAATAAATTATTTAAAATAAAGCATTTTGATGGTGTGTGATAGTCTAATGCAGCAGCAATCGGCCATAGCGAATGAATTTTATTTCTTTTCCTGAAAGAAATAATTTTCATAGAAAAAGAAAATATAAAAAGGGAAGAAATATTTTCTTTGTAATTTCTTATTTAAAGAAATATTTTTCCAATAGTAACTGTAAATTGCGGAAAAACAGTTTTAATATAAGCATGGGGGGGGGAAACCCTTAGTTTGCTATTAGATTGTAATGCAAATTAATCATATTATAAATTTAAATGATTAAATTTTTTTATTTCTAAAAGGATTTGAAGTAAGCTTAATTCATTTACTCTTATCTATTAACCATTGCTTTCGTGGTATCCCATATCACTCTTTATTTCTTAGCTCTAAATTCCTTCACATAACACAGCAGCATATTCTGCTGCGTGTTGGTCATATTACTGTTTTGTGCAATTTTTTTCGAACTACAAATGCAGCGTGTGAGTTAGTGAAATAATTGGAGAATATTCCTAGAAGTTCAGCCAGCGCGCGCTATAAATTTCGTCACTCGTCTGTACTGCGATTGGTCTAAAGCTCCTTGAAGCTTTGTCCCCTTTCAGTAAAGTCAAATGGACTCACCCGCCCACCAACTGAGGACCACAGAATGGCTTTCTCCGGTAAGTTGTGATGGCTGTCCATACCGGTTTTTTTAGTCAATATTGTTCGCTCAAGTTGTAGACAGATCCAGTGATCATAGAATACACGTCCAGAAAGGGTTAAAAATGTTTTGAAGATTTAATATCCTTTCATGGCTATCTGGCTCTCCAAACTTAACATGACAGAGCACACTTTGAATATGCGCATATGGCAAATGCATCAATCAAATAAATAAATAATTAAAAAAAACAATCTGAAAGGTTTCAGATTTTAAATTACGTCTAAAGGGGCACTTTTTTTTTAACATTTTGTGTGTTATCTTTATTTATTAAATATTATGTTTTTCACACTTAAACCATAAAATTCAGTTCAAGAGCAATATCGCAAAATAATTTTAAAACGAGCATACCTTTAGAACTTCCAATACACAGTCTCGCACGTTAGAGAGGAAAAATGTTTTTTCCTGTACAACGTTGCCATTGCTCGTTTTGAAATCGTTGAGTTTTTTTAATAAAAAATTTGTTAAAATGTAACAAAATATGAAACCAATAATAAATTAAATTTGGGCTTCCAGATGTCCATATTCTCAGGAGGAGTATGTTATTCAAAATTTGATGGCTCTAGGTACTGTTGTTTTATCACAATGCAAGAAACATACATACATTTATGCAGATTCCTCATTATTTAATTTCTTTAAATATAATACAGGGCGATAATATTTGGTGGCAACAATTTGAAAAGTGAAACAATGCTTGTAGTGAATCAATGCAAAATGCCAAAATGAAATTAATAGTCCTTTTGGGCAAATTGCCCTTTTAGACTAGGAGAGGGAAAAAAAAAAAAAGAGATTTTTAGATTCTTTTAGACGCATATAAAAATGAGAAAAATTTATTGAATCTGAGCTAATAAGGCAATCTGTATAACAAAGCAAAAGAATATATTTAATTTATTTACAAAAAAATTGCAATCTAACATCAAGTAAAATATGAAACATGTAACATACTACTGAGATATGAATACATTAAAGCACAAAAATAAATTCTGGAGTCAACAGTTTTTAATGTGTATGTTTTTAACTTTATGTATTTAATGTGATAAAAGATAAAAATGAAAATATATAACATGCAAATATTCCAAAACCTGCATCTTGTAGATGAAAGTAAATTAATACTATTTTTATTTTAAACATGCCCATAACTAAATAAAATATTTAAGAAGTAAACATTTTTAAAAGAGAATACTTCTCTGAAAATACAAAACAAACAGCAACATTTTATATACAGTATTTTATTATATACATTTTGAACAAATTTCTTTCATTAATTGTTTAGGTGGACATAATTTCATGTTTAAGAAGGAAAAATCTTGCAAAATTGAGTCAACACTCATTTCAAAGAAACTTATTCTTGTGCGTAAAAAAATACAAGTAAAATATTAATTCACTGTACAAATTGCTTTACACGAAACAGTATTGTACCTCAAAATCTGATACATCGCTGTTTCATTATTTACAGCTTTAAAGTCTAAGCTCAGTCACATTGCAATTGAATAGTTCAATTTATAAGACAATAATAAAAAATTATATTTCAAAAACATTTACTCTCAATAAAAGGTCTACTTCAATATCGTACCCTTTTCAGTAATACATAACACTGTCTATTAAGCAAATTTACACAATCTGATTGCAGTTCATTTGGAGAATTTCCGATTGAACATTTTTCATTTTGTTGAATTTCTTGACATTCATTTTTCAAAGGAAAATTACACAACTCTTGGAAGGCAACAGACACATTAATTTCCTTTTTTACTTCGAATGATTCAGACACAGAAACACTCTCAGTATTTGAAAGACATGATGAACTGATATCTGAACATAAAACACTTGAAGAATCCACTTTGCAATTATTGCTAAGATTACTTATGTCGCTTTCATCAATCTGAGGTTTACTTTTTGGATGAATCATGAGAAAACTGTCAACTTCCTCTCCACGAATATTATCTAACCTACCCAATGCAGAGTTTGAGCTATCTTCGGATGATCCCTGGTTGCAACACTTTTCTTGTATAGTTATTCTTAAGATATCAGCATTGCTTAGGCGAGTCAACTGCACAGTAGGTTGTTTATGTGTTTTTAGAAACTTTGTTATATCAGCTGATTTCTTGAATGTCAAAATAAAAGAATTATTGCACTTTCGAGTTTTATTTTTCAACACCAAAGAATTATTTTTTTGCCTAGATTTCTTTCTGTAACTGAGCTTTCTCAAAATTCTTCTTTTGCGAGATACAGATGAATTGATGGCACGAGAAATTTTAACACTAGATTTAAAATCAGATTTACTAAATATTTTTGAGGATGTAGGGCAATATCCTCGATTAGAAGGTGCATTCTCACATTGCAAGAATATTTTTCTTTTATTCTTATTTAAATTATCAGAAGTATGTGATTTCTGAATAGTTTTATTTCGGCCATAAACTTCAGAAGAGGCAAGACTAGGGAAGAAAAATTTTGTGTTGCTGGAAGAACTAAATGAATGCCTACGATAAGGAAAGCAATTTACATTTTTAACATATCCGCCTTCTAATTCTTCAGTTTGAAGAGGAGCAGAAACACTGAGATTTTCTGAAGATTTAAAATTGGAACTTATGCGTTTAAACGATTTTTCAACATCCTCAATTTTCTTTTTACAGACACCACATTTTTCAAGAGAATTTGGCATATTATATTGTCTTGAATGTATGTTTGACATTGAATCACAGAGATATGAGGTATTATCACCAGAACTACAGAAAGAAAAAGATCCACAACTTTTATAATTATTCTCAAACTTCTGATAATCAGTTTCATTTGATACTGAATTCTCTTTAATTTTACATTTCAAATCCGTAGGACTAAACAGATATTTTAAATTTACATCAGAAGTGTATAATTTTTGACAAGTTTTGATATCTGAGAATGAATGTCGCCGAATTCTGCGTCCAAGTCCTCCTTCTCCAAATTTTTGAGAGTAAAGAGAGCTATGTAATATTTCAAAATGACTAATATTAGAATTATTTTGATTGATAGTCTTTTCTACATCAATTTCAAAATTATTCGAAGATTTTAGAGCAGCATACTCATATAAAGGATCTTTGTTAGAAACATGCACTTTCTTTTCATCTGCAGAATCATTATCAGACCAGCTATTTACTAAAGCAGCTTGTGGGTGAAGACTATCAAGTGAAACTGAATTTGAATCAGAATCACAGTTTGAATACAGTAAGTTAGGAGGTGATAATTTATCCATGTTTTTGATGGAAGTCCTTTTTTCTGAAAAAGACTTTTGTTTTTTCAGAACTGGAATACTGTGCATGTGCTTTAAATGCATAGAAAGTGCTTCCATAGAACTCAACTTCTCATGGCACAATCTACATTCTTTGGAACGATTTTTTGAACGCAATTTAGCTGTAAATGTTCTTTTTCGATGAGCATTATCAGATTCTACACTAGATTCAAAAAAAGATCTTTTCAATGAAGAGCTATGTTTTCTTTGTTCATCAGATGACATATATAATTCAGAATTATTTTCATTAGTAGCAGATGTATTATGAACTGATTTGAAATTATCATTTTCAGTTGTTGTAGATGCTTGCATTACTGAATTAAAAATTTCTTTATGTATGTTGGAATAGTTCTCAGCTTTGGAGTACTCTGTTTCATTATGCTTTTCTAAATTCTTGACAGAACGATTTCCTTCAGGTACAGGAAAAGTATCAGAATTCTTAAAAGATTTACTATGAGCAAAACACTCATCTTCTGGCTCACTAACAAGTTTCAATGAATTCTCATCATATACATCCTTAGTACATGATTCTTCACAATCAGCAGAACTTAATGAATTTTGCTCAAATACTTTTACTAAAACTTTACTTTTATGTTTAGATGCAGAACTTTTGTCACTAATGACAAGTTTTAAAGAATTTTCTTCCTCAAATGTTTTGTGGTCATCATCAGATAAAGAGTTAGGAGCAAAAAAACATTTTGAAACATTAGAAATAATTTCTGAAACAGGAGTAATTTCATCTGCACATGAATTTGTAGAACTCGCATGCTTTACATTAAATTCAGAATGATTTTCCATAACACTCTGAGAAGCAAACACTTCTTGTTTGTCAGATGGTACATCTTCACAAGATAATGTAGTTTCTTTCTGAACATTTGGCAATTCATTACAAGCAGTTGGGACAAATACTGGTGTAATAGCTTCGCATTCATTTTGATTAATTTCTTGAGACAAATTTGTAGACGCACATGTTAAGTTCATATCTTTAAAGCTTGAAACAGAATCCTTCAAACCATGCAAGCCACAGCCCATTTTACTATTTAATTCAGGAAATTCTGTTTTATCACATTCGTTCAAACATCCAGAGTATGTGCATTCATCTTTGACTGGTAAATAATCCAAGTTTTGCTGTATGTTACTCTGACAAATATTTTGATTTGCATTAATTTGGTATGAATTACTTAATTGGTCTAAATGCATAGCTTCTTTTTCATAATTAAATTTTGGATTGAACTTCAAACTGGAATTTATAGTCTCTGAAAAGTTTTGATAATTCTCATTATTTATATCCATGAAGTCTATAGTACTTTGATAATCATTTTCTGGTTTATCATGAATACTTCTTTTCTCTTTCTCAGGTTTCATTATATCTACAGAAATTTCAGCATTAGCTCCATGTTTGGAAACAGGATTTGTGATACTAGAATTTAAATCTTCAATCACTGGCAAAGAAGAAGAAGCAGACAGCTTGTGTTCATTAGCAGAATTGTTTTGTTGGCTTATATCAGGAAGCATTTTAGATAGTAGAAAGATACTTTGTTTAAAGGGAGTTTTTTGTCTGGCTATTTGTTCTTTGTCACTGCTCTGATAAACTGCTACACTACTGTTATTCTGCACAGGTATTACCGGAAACAAGTCTTGTACAGATTTATCAAGATTAACAACCGATTTTGCTTGTATAGAACCTTCAAGTATTTCAGATGGCTTACTCACTTTCAGTGTGCCTTTTCCAGCACATTTATTGAAATGTACAGCCTTCATATGTCGATTTAAAGCAGATAGCGAGGTGTATTTCCGAAAACATATGCAACATCTGGGCTTTCCTGAAGAATCTGGGTCTTTCACTTTGAAATTATCTGGAGAGATTGTGTGGCATTGCATCAATATAGCTAATTCTGATGGTGTTAGCTTACTGGCTGTATTTCCTTGTAAATGCAAGAAATGCTTATCATCTTTAGCAGGAGATGAAGGCACATTGAAATCAAACTTTAAATGTGAATCTTCTATAAATTTATCTTTATCGTTAACAGATTCTCGGTCAACAGCAAATGTTTCATCTGTTTTTAATGCATCAGAAACGGATAAGCATGTACTTGTATCTGCATTTTGTTCCAAAACTGCTGATAGCAATGGATATGTTTGCTTGAACCCTTGTGCTACTAAAGGTTTATTAGATTTACCAGAAACTGAATTTAGAGTTGCGGCTTCCCCAATTGGAAATTTTTCACGATGCATCTTAAGGATATGTCTTTTAATGTACACTGCTGTAAGTGTTTTTTTACAATATTCACACTTTTTAGTAGGCTTTTTTATAGAACTTTTCCCCTCAGTTAAAGAAATATTACCTCCACTATTACTAAATGATGGTTCTGCTTTTGCTTCCTTTCCCTGATTAGCAGCCATAATGCTTTTTACAGCAAGAGATACATGCAAATCAAGATCATTTCCCTCTGATACAGAGCTTGGAATATTGTCACAGTCACTGTAATTTTTGTCACTATCAGCAAGATAAGAAGACTGAAAAGGCAATCCTAGATTATTTTCTGATGATGCAATCAAATGTAAGCTATTTGATTCAGATGTGCTAACTAAGTTTGGCTGCTGTACTGCTGTAACTACACTCTTTTTGACGTCAGTAAGTGTAATGAATGTGGATGATTTGGATAATGAATTAGGTATAAAAGGATGTAAATCACCAACATGGTTAGCAGGTGCATTACCTTCTACAGTTACACTTTTGTCAAAGGAACATTCTTTTAACACTGGTTTTTCCAACTTCTGATTATCTGCAATAAAACCTAAAATTCTATCAAAATCTTTATAGGCCTTAACCACTTCACTTGACTTTTCAAAACTTTCATTATTGAATTGATCAGTATTAGGAGTTATATTTTCTAATATGCTATCTTCAACATATGCTGGAAGATTTTGTAGCATATATTGTGGTATATCTTCCTTTTTTACTAAATCAGTAAAATTTTGCAGATTTGGAAAATTATAAGAATCATCATTAGCATCAGAAATTAAGGGCAAAGAACAATTATCAATTTGCTCTAAACAATCCACATTTTGCACAAGTTTACTGAATTCTTTCTCACTATTAATTAAATTCATGCACATAGTAAACATATTATCATCATTTATTTCTTCATTTTCTTTAAATTTAAAATCTGTTTTATTTAAAGAAGGTCCATCATTATTTTGATGCAAAGCATTTAATGTTTCTTCAGGAATTCCAGAAAAAGAATTGGACATGCACATGATATCTGGACTGGGTGATAAATCAAGAGATATTCGTTCTTTTGAATGACCATATTTATTTTCTTTTAATAACTCTGTTTTGTGGAAATTTATAATGTGCCATTTAAACATAGCAGATGGACAAGATATTGAACAATACTGGCATACTCTTTGAGTGTTGTTAATTGAAAAAATTGATGAATTTGCCCCTTCTGCAATCTTGTGTTTCTCAGCATCAGACGACGGCAGAAACATATTGCTATTAACCTAACAAAGGAGAGAAAAAAATAAATCTCAGTACTTTCTTAAAAATAAACCATGCATTATAATTTAAAATATTTAATAAAAAGCAACTATAATAAACATTCTTAGGCAAAATTAATTATATTTTAAATTAAAATAAATACTTAAGGCACTGGAGACTTAATAGCTTACAAATTTTTCAATCAGTATGAATCACAGTTTGGTCAATCACTTATTTTCTATATTAATTTCAATTTCAAATAAATCTACAATCTCATTATTTCCTGAAGCATCATCTAAATACTTTAACCTGTTTTACACAATTTAAAGTTTATTAAAAATTACTACCATTATCCAGGATTTTCAATTAGTATAGAATTTGATTTTCTGACATATCACTGCTACCCTCTGTTTTGCCTTTTTTTATATCATCTTTATTTTGAACTTTTAAACAGCAATAATTTGGTAAGCACTAAGTGATCCTCCACATTATTATTACTCTTGAAATCAGATTTTTATTAATGATCACAATGGTTTGGTTTATTTGATTATGAAAAAAATCACACAATGGCTATCCGCTTAAGGTGAGGGTTGGCTTCAACTAGGAATTTTCTCAGGGAAACTGGCTCATATCTACTTTACACATTGGAAACACCACAAAAGTACTCATGCAGTCAGCCAATTTGTCGGGATTCAAACCCAAGATCGAACTACCAGCATTCAGAGATTTTACCTTTTGGCCACAAGTGGGGCTCTGCATATATACATGATGTGAAAAAATAAGAAATGTTTATTACGTTTCTATATGATATAGTTACGGCCACTATTTAAGATGACATAGAAATATAAACCTTAACAACTGATATAATTTAATTCCTCAGTGTTGATATTAAATAACAAGTTCAATTTCCAACAATAATTATCACCTTCATTCTATGAGCAGAAACTAAAGTTCGCAAAAGTGTTTCTGCAGCATACATTCAGCTTTATACGTGGCCCACTAACAGCTGAGCAATAAAACCGCAGAATACTGGTAGTTCAATCTAGGTTCAAATCCTGGAAAATGGGCTGACTGCATGGGAATATTTGTGATTTTGCTTTTCCCCCCTCACTTTAACGTGTAACATGAATACAAGGCAGCCACTCAGGGAAAACCCCTGACAAATGCTCCCTTGCCTTAAGAGTATAGCCCTTGAGTGCTCTGCCATGATCTAATTCATTTCAATTGAAAAATCTGATTTAATTTCGTAATCATAGGGATTCAAATGTATAAATGCGAAAAAGCAAATTACCTTCTAAAGTTTGTTTAATGACCTAAAGTTAAATCACTCTAAAATTTTTATTCATTAGTGAACTTAGGAAAATTAGATGTGGTTGATGATAATAAAATATTTTAATACTTTTGTTTAAGAAAACAATGATTATTTAGTGATTAATTGAATTCTGCTCAATAATATAACTGAAAATTGAGAATTCCATTTCCGGCATCACATTATTATTATTATTTTACAACACATTCTTTTAACTCTTTTGCATCGAAGTCGCACAAAATGATTGGCCATTCAGACATTGGCAAGTCGCACAAACGCCTGAATCATTTCCTATTTAGTGCTTTCCCCCAATCGCATTACTGCATTGCTTTCACGAGTTGTTAAATGACATGCCAATTATTCTTTTGAAGCGACTAAAAGTAGTTCTGCTATTTTAATGCACCTTCTTTTTCCTTTGTCAACATTCAGTTATTGATGCCTAAAGTTGCAATCCTGTCCCAAGCAGAGTGAAAGCGTCCAAGAACGAAGTTATTGTTGTTATTGCCACTTTACTTAAGTAGGTTTACTTAACTAGGTTATTATTATCATGGGGGAAAGAAAATCATTCCAAGAAAAATTCATGTACATGAGTGTTTTCAATGTTTGAAGAAAAGAGTTTTGGTCCTCTCTCGATACAAAAGAGTTAAGATATTACACTGCTATAATCTGGCTGCTACAAAAATATAATGTAAGGCTTTAGATACAGGTCTGACTGTACATATACTAATATTTGGCAACACTGATGCACTGCAAATTAGTTATCTATTACCATGCATTTGGCAAGTATGTGTGCATCTGCTTTAAGAGTCTACCATTACTATATATGACAGATGGCCATAGCACGGCTTTTACTCAAACAACATATACAGTAAAAAGTCTGTAATGCGGGCCTCAAAGCCATAAACTTACGCAGCATAAAGCCAGTAAAACGTAAGCCACAAACTTACGCATGCGCATTTAATGTGCGTGCCCACTATGCATGTGCGTAAAGCCAGTAAAGCGTTTACACATGCGCGGCTTCCGATAGTGAAGAAAGTGACAGAGAGGTTATTGAAAATGAAAAAATTTAAATTGTGAAGTTAGTATTCTCGACACAGCAATTACAAGATTTGAACAGTGGAACTTTGTAACTGAACAAGAAATGATGTCTGTTTATAGAAGAGAAAAAAAGTAGAGCCACAAAACAAGCAACTTAAACAACTTACTGAAGAAAGTTAATAAAAACAAAATTAAAGCTTTTTTTTTGTAAATTTTGATACCCTTTAATCATAATTGCTCTTTATTTCATAAATACTTTCATATTTTTAATTGTATAATTTCTGCATGCCATCTTACCAGATTTAAATTAATGGTCTATATTCCGGAAAAACCCCTAATCTGGAATCGCCGAAGTCCCAACGAGTCCGGATAACAGACTTTGTACTGTATATATATATATACATGAAATATGGTAAACTAAAATTACTCTATGTCCCAAAAAGCAAGCAATTAATTTATTCCATTTCCTTTTATGAAGTTATTTGACATTTCTATAGTTCGTGGGCAAGGCATGCATAACAGTGATCCAGAATTGAGACTAAAACCAGAAGAGATTGCTAAAATCTCTTCTGGTTTTAATATCAAATTTTAAAAAGAGGATGGAGTAACAGTGCACCAGGGATTGGGTAAGAGCTAAACAATGAGAAAAAACTAAATCCTAACACTTTAGAGAATTTGTATTCAGATGATATTCATAATGCTAATGAAATCAACCTCTATTATTGCTACATCAAAATATGTAATGTCATAGTACATCAGACATACACTGTGCAATGTGATTCATAGTGCAATGTCACAATATAAAAGGACAACAGGTTTCATTACTGTTACGCTGTGCTAATATGTCAGGTACTGAATCAAAAATCATTAATTGTCTTAAAAAATACCGATACTTTAAGGGGTTAAAAACACAAGAGTTAACGAATAATGATGCAGAAATGACTTCTGAAAAATTCTGGGAATTGCATCTTGATGACTGCACTGCGCACCCTCATTAGATAATCAGTATACAATGGATATTCATTAATTAAAATTCGGTTATTTCAAACTAATCCAAAAGCCCCCAGAACTTTTATTGGAATTAATGTTAAAAATACATCATTAATTCAAACTAAATTTTTATCACTTCAGTTAATTCAAACTAAAAATTTGGGAAAAAAAAAAAAAAAAAAAAAAACGGGGAAATTATGCACTTTATTACTCTGTATGTCAAAATCACATGTTATTTTTTTTCTGCGTAAAGAGGCACATGCTTGCATTCCTAGACTATTGCATTTTCACTAAATGTTAGTGGCTATTGTCCTACTGTCCACTTCTTATCATTACTTAACGAACACAGCTCCCTAGCCTAACTTGTTTCCTAGGATTCAGCCAGAAAGCTTTATGAATGTATTAGCGTACGGGAAGAATAACTTGTTTATTTGCTATAAATTTTCTTAGAATTTCCGAAAAAATAAGTCTTTTCGACAGATTCTACAGAATTATGTGGTTATACCTGCAGTGCAGACAAGTCAATGTGCTTTAGTTTTTCTTCCTCAGAGTGTGGTGTGAAAGTGTAAAAATTCAGGAAAGTACAAAACTAACTTAAGAGGCACAGGTAGAAATTTTAAAGAAAGTAAAGAATGTAAAACAAAAAATCAATTTTAGATTCATGAGCAAAATCTAAATTTGCAAGAGGAAGGAAACTCATGAGAAATGCATCCCAAGAAGATATAGCGAAAGCTGTACTGCTATGATTCTAGGAGACTAGATCTCGAAATTTTCCACTAAATGGACACCTATTGCAGACAAAGACTGATGAATTGGCAAGTCAAATGGGTATTGAAGATTTTAAATGCAGTGATGGATGGCTTTCTCGATTTACAGTGATGGATGGCTTTCTCGATTTACAGTGATGGATGGCTTTCTCGATTTAAGTCAAGGCACAATATTTCTTATCAAACTGTATGTGGCCAAAGCTCTGATGTAAATAAAGACATATGCACTAATTTGGGTAGGAAACTGCCACAGTTGTTTTCTACTTACTAGCCAAAAGATATTTTAATGCAGACAAAACAGCATTTTTTAAAATTAACTCTTGCCAAACAAGACATTACATTTTAAAGGGGATGCTTGCATAAGAGGTAAAAGCAGTAAACAGAGGATTACAGCTTTAGTTAGTGCTAATATGGATGAATGGAAAGTCCAAGAATCCATCGTGTTTTAACGCAACTGGAACGCTGCCAGTTGATTATGTATTCAATACAAAAGCACAGTGTGGTGTTGTGTGTGACAATCCCTATTTAACTAGATACTCAATTTATCAAATAATTACATTTCCCAAAGTGCTGCCTGAATCGTATATCTAGTACAACTGCTGAAAGATGATAATACTTCATAACCTAAACATGTCAAAAGGACTTCACGAACAACTTGTTTGCTTCTCTCCCTTATCGAATTAATTATTAATATTTATCTGCATTAATATTTTTAACTCGATAATGCAGACAAAAACGGATTGAGAACACAAGACCGAAGAAACATTGGATAGGCAGTGCCGTTTAGTGAAGATCGAAAGCAAAATTCAAATCTGCTGACATCGTGCACTTTGCTTACTAGAAATATTTTTACGTTAATCACACACATTGCAGATGGAGGTTTACACACATGACATATAGATATTTCTTTTACACACAT